AAAAGAAATTACTCTACCCATGAAACCTTCTCATTTGTCAGTGGCCCAAAATCAATGTTTAGGATAGAAAATAAACCAGCCATGTAAGTACTTCTTTCTTTCCTTGAAGTCTTGGGGAGTTGAGTCAACAAGACGTTCATGGTTGAGTCACAGAGAGAATTCCCAGGGTTTGCTTTCATGTGCATACACAGAGTAGCTCTAAAGTGGCTTTCTCATAAGTAGGTCTGAAGAAAAGAATTCTTTTTTTGAAATGCAAGAGCCAGTTATTTACTACTTCTGTTCATGCTAAAATTTTTGTTTCTGATATTCAATGCAAAAGCAATTAAAGCACAATAAACTCAAATAAAGCTAGTTAAATAACCTGTAAAACCTTCAATATATAAAAGTATATTATTTTTTTAATACAATTCAGCCTTAAAAACAATCAGGGAAGCCCATTAGATATCATTTGGTTTATAAGATCCCTGTGGTTTTTCTCAAGTGAAACTGTAATCAAGCTTTGATGAATAACAAAACTTCCTCTTTAAAGAATGTTCTATCTGAATACATTAGGGTTTAAATTTGAAATTCTCCCACACATTTTTCAAATAAAAACTATGATTTTTAAAATATATTTTCAAAATAGTCTCTTAATTTCTTCTTTAGTGAACTGGAAAAAAAATACTAGTACAGTTTGGTGATTAAGTTCTCTGTATTAATTGGCATTGCAGATTCATCTGTTCATACTGCATAGACTTTGCCTGAGAATGACCATCCCCTCAGAACATAAAACCTCTGACATTACAGAGCATGGAAGTTACTCCCATTCTCACAAGAAACATTGGGAGAAGCTGAAATCCATGGATTTTCTTGGATCCATAAGAGAACTGAATTTGCAAAGAAAACTGGCCACCAAAAATCTGGAGAGAAAAGTAAATCCTGAGAGCCACAGCTGAGATCTGCTTACCTGGAACAGATGCCAGGAGCTATAAACTAGTTAAATGATCATTTTGATGAATTTTTAAAGGCTGAATGTGACTAGCATGAAAGAGACTCCTGTGAACTACTTTTTTACTGGGCCCTTATATTTTTGTAGGCCACAACTATAGCAATCCCACCAGTTTCTTGTTGTAAATATATTATAAATAATCCATTATGGCTCTAACTGAAGGGGACAAATGCATACTCTCCAAATGCCTGCTCTCCAGGGAGAAGCACTTAAAGGGAGCCATGTCTCAGAATTGTGGGAGAGGTGAATGTCTCTCATACCACTCCCCTCTAGCTGATTTCCTGTCTTGCTTAAGTAGGAGAAAGTCTGTAAGAAGAAACAGGTGTAAAGATCATAGATCAGAGACATAAGCCCACTATATGACAAAGATATAATTAGAAGATTGTGGAATGCTCCCTTCTCCTACACCTTACCGCCACACCAACTGAGCTCTAGTATAATAGTGAATTAATTACAGCTGGAAGAATTGCAAGATAGACTTTCTCCGAGGAAGCACAATTAAAGAAGCTCAACGTCAAAGGGCAAGATAAAAACAAACAAACAAACAAAAAAACTAGAGCAATTTGCCCTGGCTGATGTTTCTCAATGGTTAGAGCATTGGCCCATACACTGAAGGGTTGTCGGTTCCCAGCCCCAGTCAGGGTGAGTGTGGGAGGCAACCAATCAATACATCTTTCACATATTGATGTTTTTCTCTTTCTCTCTCATTCCCTCCCTCCATGCCATTCTCTCTCTCTCTCTCTAAAAAAAAAAAATCAATGGAAAATATACTCAGGCAAGGATTAAGAAAACAAAACAAAACAAAATGCTAGAAGAATTTGAAGTTGCTGGCCTCATAGCTATCTCTCTATATAAAAGCCTAAGTGACTGACCTACTGGTGGTCAGTGTGCTCCCACAGCCAACCTCCTGTCACTGGCCAACCTCCTGCAGTTCCTCCTCCTGGCCAGCTTGTCCTGATCAGCTCCAGTCCACCCTGATGGATCTCGGGCCAGGCCGAGGAACCCCACCCATGCACAAATTTGTGCACTGGGCCTCTAGTAAGTAAGATTGAACAAAGCCCAACTTCTAGTTAGAGTGACAAATCTTTACACTAGAGGCTTAGTTACCTTAGTTTCTATTACCCAATATAACATGTCCACCACTCAACATAAAAACTACTAGGCTTGACTGGCCAACATTTCTCAGTGGTTGAGCATCAACCTATGAATCAGGTCACAGCTCTATTCCTGGTCGAGGCACATGCCTGGGTTGCAGGCTTGATCCCCAGTGTGGGGTGTGCAGGAGGCAGCCAATCAATTATTCTCTGTCATCACTGATATTTCTATCTCTCTGTTTCTCTTCCTTCCTTTCTGAAATCAATAGAAAACAAACAAACAAACAAAAACTGCTAGGCTTGCCAAAAGATGAAAAAAGTATGATCTAAAAAGACAAAGTGCATCATAATCAGACTTGGATATAGATATAGAATTTGATGTTATCAGACAGGGAATTTAAAATAACTATGATTAATATGTAAAGGAGTTTTTGAAAAGCAAAGAAAATTATCAACAAAATGAAAATACAACCCACATCTGGTAAAGGGTTAATAAAAAAAAATTATAAGAAACAAACAATCCAATTAAAAAATGGCCAAAGAACCTGAATAGACACTTCTTCAAAGACATACACATGACCAATAGACATATGAAAAGATGCTCAACATCACTTGTCATCAGAGAAGTGCAAATTAAAAACCACAATAAGATATCAGTTCACACATGTCAGAATGGCTATCTTTAATAAATAAGCAAACAACAAGTGATGGTGAAGATGTGGAAAAAATGGAACCCTCGTGTACTGTTAGTGGGCATGCAGCCTGGTTCAGACACTGTGGAAAGCAATATTTTCAAAAAATAAAAAATGGGGCTGATTTATGACTCAGAAATTCCACTTCTGGCAATTTATCCAAATAAACCTGAAACTCTAATTCAAAAGAATATATGCACCCCTATGTTCATTGCAGTGTTATTTACAACTAGAGGCCTGGTGCACAAAATTCATGCTCAGGTTAGGGTGTTTGTATCTCAGCCCAGACTGCACCCTCTCCAATCTGGGACCTCTTGAGAAATGTCCAACTGCTTGTTTAGGCCTGATCCCACTTTCACAATCCAGGACTGCTGGCTCCCAACCTCTCACTTGCCTGTCTGCCTGATTGCCTCTAACCACTTCTGCCTGCCAGCCTGATCACCCCCTAACCACTCCCTTGCCAGCCTAATCAATGCCTAATTGCTCCCATGACAGCCCAATTGCCCTAACTGCCCTCCCTTGCCAGCCTGTTCGCCCCTAACTGCCCTCCCTGCTGGCCTGGTCACCTCTAACTGCCCTCCCTGCTGGCCTTATTGTCCCTAACTGCCTTCCCTTGCAGGCCTGGTCCCTTCCAACTGCCCTCCCCTGCTGGCCTGATCACCTACAACTGCCCTCCATCTTATGGCAACCATCTTATGTCCACATAGGGGTGGAAATCTTGTGTGTTGGAATGATGGTCAATTTGCATGTTACCTCTTTATTATATAGGATAGCCAAGATTTTGGAAGCAGCCCAAGTGTCCATCAATAGATGAGTGGATAAAAACAGCTATGGTACATTTACACAATGGAATACTATTTAGCCAATGAGAGGAGAAAATGTTACCCTTTGTGCCAACATGGATGGACCTAAGAGAACATAATGCCAAGTGAAATAAGCCAGCCAGAGAAAGACAAGCACCACATAATTTCACTAATACATGGTATTTAATAAACATACCCAACAAACAAGCAAAATAAAGACAGACCCAGAGATAGTAGGAAGTCAACTCTGATGTGTGTGTGTTGGGGAGGGGGAGATGATGTTGATGTGCATGTGTGATTGAGCAAGAAAGAAAAAAAAACGAAAAGAACCTTATGACTCAGACAACAGTGTGGTGATTGTGGTGAGGGGAAATGAAAGAGAGTATAGGGATTTTACAAATGGTGACGCAGAAAAATATGTAAAGAAATGTAGTGAAAAAATAGAGAAGAACTGATGCAAAAATAGATTGATAATATGAACAGAGAGGTGAAAAGTCTAAAAAATAATCCAAAGGAAAGCTGGAAGTAAAAATACTGTACACTTGACAAGGCTGAGAAAAGAATTAGTGAACCTGAAGATAAGTAAATACAGTCTTCCCAAACTGAAATGCAAAGAGAAAAAAGTGATAAAAACAGAACAGAATGTTCAAGAACTTTGAGGAAATTTCAAAAGATGTAACATATATTATTGAAATATTATAAGGAGAAGAAAAAAATGGTAGAACAGAATATTTGAAATAACAATAGCTGAGAGCTTTCCAAAATTAATGACACCAGTCCAAAATCTAAGAAGTTTAGAGATAATCAAAGAGAATAAATATGCAAAAAACACCTTGACACTTAAGTGTAGAAAATCAGTTATAAACATGTTAAAATGAATATGTCATTAATCTCTTAAAATAAGTTGTCTAAATAAGCCAACTTAAAGCGGCAAATTGTCAAACAAATATATGTAGTCTTCACAAATCCACATTAAATATAAGAACTCTGAAGGTTAAAATTAAAGGGTTGAGAAAATACATAGTGTGCTAACATTAATCAAAACAAAGCTGAAGTAGCTATTTTAATTTCAAACAAAATAGACTTCAGAACAAAAGAAATTGTCAGGGATAAAGAGTGGTACTACATAATGATAAATGGATAAATTCTCCCAAGAAGACATAAGAATTCTCAATGTGAATGTATCTAATAGGACATCAAAATACATAAAGTAAAAACCTGACATAACTGAAGGAGAAATAGACAAATCTATTATTGTATTTTAAGATATTCACATCCATGTCAATAATTGATAGATAAAGTAGGCAGGAAATCAATAAAGATTTAGTTTACTTGAATACTGCTATCAATCAACTTGATCTCATTGACATTTATAGAAAAATGTATCCAACACACACACACACACACACACACACACACACACACACACACAACTATGTGAGGTAATGCATATGTTTATTAAACTGATTGTGGTAATAATTTCACAAGGCATCTGTATATCAAATCATGGCATTGTACACTTTAAATGTATGCATTTTTTTAGTCAATTATATGTCAATAAAGCTAGAAAGAAAATAAAGATAGACCATAATTCTTCATTCCTTAACATGGATTATGCATAATGACTTTTGTCCAAAGACTAGAGTATGGAAAAGATAGAAAAAGAAGGATAATTTTACAGTGGAGAATCCTGACAAAGGTACTTCAAGCCAGATAATCAACATTAACATTAGTATTACCTCTGGTTTTTTTTCTTCAATATATATTAGCCTAATTTAATTATGAGAAAAACATCATAAAAATCTCGAGAGAGGTACATTTTACAAAATACCCCCACATTTTAAAGGTTATCAAACGCAAGGAAAGTCTAAGAAACTGTCACAGCCATGAGGAGCCAAAGAAGATATGAAGACTACATAGAATGTGATATCCAGGATGGAATCCTAGAATAAAATAAGGAAAACTAGATAAATCTAATTTATTTGAATAAAGTACAGAATTTAATTAATAAGTACCAATATTGTCTCATTAATTGTGACAAATGTACCATAATAATGTTATCCTGTCTAATAAAAAGGTAATATGCAAATTGACCATCACTCCAACACAAAAATTGGCTGCCTTCATGTGGTCAAAGATGGCTGTCCCTATGTGGATACAAGATGGCCCCCACAAGATGGCCAGCAGAGGAGGCAGTTGGGAGGGATCAGGCCTGCAAGGGAGAGAAGTTGGGGGTGAGCAAGCCTACAGAGAAGGGCAATTGGGGTGATCAGGCCTTCAGGGGAGGGCAGTTGGGGTGACCAGGCCTTCAGGGGAGGGCAGTTGGGGTGACCAGGCCTTCAGAGGAGAGCAGTTAGGGGTGGCCAGGATGGCAGGGGAGGGCAATTAGGGGTAATCAGATTGGCATGAGAGCAGTTAGGCATCAATCAGGCTGGCAGGGGAGTGGTTAGGGGGTGATCAGGCTGGCAGAGAGAAGAGGTTAGGGGCAATCAGGCAGGCAGGCAAGCAGATGGGAGCCAGCAGTCCTGGATTATGAGAAGGATGTCTGACTGCCCATTTAGGCCTGATTCTTTTGGACCTAAATGGTCAGTTGGATATCCCTGGAGGGGTCCCAAATTGGAGAGGGTGTAGGCTAGGTTGAGGGACACCGCCCCCCTCTGTGCACAAATTTCATGCTCTGGGCTTCTCGTGTTTCTCTAGTATAAAGAACACTGGATGTGAATTACACACAAACTTGATGCTATTTTTGCTATAATTTTGTACATCTGAAACTGTTTCATACTGTAATGGCAGATTCTTGTCCTTATACACTTGTCAAAACCCACAGAATGTACAACATAAGGAGTGAACCTAATGTAAACTCTAGATTTTAGTTAATAGTGCTCATCAATTCTAACAAAGGTGCTACACCAAATGCAAGATATTAATAATAGGGGAAATTGGTGAAGGATAAGAGTTTCATGAAACTCTGTATTTTTCACTTAATTTGTCTGTATAAATCTAAAACTATATCCCAATATCTATTAATTAAAAAACACAAACACAAAAAAAACCTGAAGAAAACCAATAAAATGTAAAAAGCCCCCAAAACTTGCAGCTAGGAGGATTTACTGCTGAAAATTGGAAATTGAAAATAATATTCCATTACATATGTAATTGTTATTATTATTCAACTATCAATTTATACTTAGATTGTTTCTATGTCTTGGCTAAGGTAAATATGCTGCTACAATAAACATGATGATGCATATATCTCCTTGAGTTAGTATTTTTATTTATTTTGGATAAATACCAGAAGTGGAATTGCTGAATCATAGTGTAGTTCCACTTTTAAATTTTTAGACATGAAAACAGAACCTAGAAAGGACTTTAAAAGCAATCAGAGGAAAGTTTCAAGTTGCTTGAAGTTTCTTTGCACTAAAACTAAGTTCAACCATGAGGTTCTGTGTGGCAAAAAAGATCATATCATGAGGACAGAAGAAAGTTACCTACATTCACCTGGGATGCTGTACAGGTTATTTCTACTCCACAAATCTGTTCACAAGTGAGGTGGTGTTCTGCTGATTCAGACCTTTGCAACACCACACAAAGGAGGTTACCCACATTTCCGTCCAAACACGTATCACCTGGATTTTAAGACCATTAACCTCTTCCAAATGATTGGTAATGGGAAGCCTCCATAGCTTTGTTAGCAGAGGCAAATATTTAACTTCATAAAAGAGTGATGTCCTGTTGATTTCAACTAAGAGACCATGAGTCACAGGGCCAGCTGGTGATGCCCCACAGGAAGTCAGGGTCTAACACGTTACAGCACTCTTAACACTTTTGGATAAAAAGGACAACTGCCTCCTTTATTTTCTTCTCATTAGGTGTCCTAATGGCTCATTCTAGCACCTATTTCTTTTTTTTCTTCTTATTTTATTTCATTAAGGTATAATTGACATATAACAGGGTAATAGATGTATTTATACAACATAATGATTCAATTTTTGTAAAATAATCATCGATATAAGTTTAGTTAATATCCATCACCACACAGTTACAATTTTCAATTTTTTCTACCCATGATAGTTGAATAATAAAGTTTCAAATATACAATACAGTATTATTAACTACTAGAGGCCCAGTGCACAAAATTCATGCACAAGGAGTTGGGGGATGGGGAGTCCCTCAGCCCAGCCTACACCCTTTCAAAATCCCTACTGGCTCCTAACTACTTGCCTGCCCACCTACCTGATCATCCCTAACTACTCTGCTTGTCTGCTGATTACCCCTAAACACTCTGCCTGCTTCCCTGATCACCCCTAACCACTTCTTCCTTGTCTCCCCACCAACCTCTCCCCGCCCCATGGCTTTATCCAGAATGATGTCCGAAAGTCATTTGGCTGTCCGGTCTAATTAGCATATTACACTTTTATTATTATAGATTCTCATCATGCTATACATTACATCCATAGGAATTAAATTTATTTTATAACTGAAAGTTTGTATCTTTTGATTACTTTCACCCATTTCACCCAAGTACCTGCCCCCCCCCCACATCTGACAACTACCAATCTGTTCTCTATGCCTGTGAATTTGTTTTTGTTTGTGTTATTAGATTGCACATATAAATGAGATCGTACTGTATTTGTCTTTCTGTCTGACTATTTCACTTAGCATTAATGCCTTCAAAGTTCACTCATGTTATTGTAAATGGCACAATTTCAGTCTTTTTTATGTCTGAATAATATTCCATTATATATGTAATGGAATATATATGTTATATATGATTATATATGTATATATGATTACATATTATTATATATAATATATGTGTATATATGTCTATATATGATTATTATTCATCCATCAGTGCATACTTAGGTTATCTCTATATCTTGGCTATTGTGAATAATGCTGCTGCAGTAAACATGATGGTGCATAATATCTTTTTTAGTTAGTGTTTTTATTTACTTTGGATAAATACCCAGAAGTGGATTTGCTGGATTTTTTAGGGGACCTCCAGATGGTTTTCCATAGTGTCCATAACAATTTTCAATCCCACTAACAATGCATAGTGATTTCTTTTCTTCACATCCTCTCTAATGTTCTCACTTGCATTTCTCTGATAATTAATGCTAGGTACCTTTTTCTATATACCAAACTACCCCACACTTAATGGTTAAAACAAACAGTTTATTTTGCTTAGGATTTTGAGTGTCAGGGACTCAGGAAAGGTTTAGCTGGGTGGTTCTCTGATTCATGTGGCATCACCTGGGACAGTCGGGGCTGGAAAATCTGCCTGAGATGTCTTTTTTACCCACATGTCAGGTGTCTTGAGGCACCTTGCCTCCTTTTTCCACATGGTGTCTCACCCTCCAGGGTCCCTTCATGTGACTCGGGCTTCTCACAGATAGTGGTCTCAGGGGAGTCACACTTCTTCTTCTCCCATAAATATGGCTTTCCTTGGGACAAGAATGCACTGCACCAGCACAGCCAAGGTTTGGCAGGCCTGGGCAGGGGCGAAGAAGGATGGAGAAATGATAGACAAAGGGGAAAAGCTGGGTCTAGTTGGATCTTCTGTGCCTGGCTGAGGCCACAGAACAGATCCAGACTGCAAAGCTGATGCTTTATTTATAGTCAGGGGTAAACAAGGTAATCTACAATGGTCTTGTAAGTTTCACTTGTTTTGGCAGCACTTGCTGCCCCTCCCACAGTCCCCTAGCTACCCAGGAAAGATGTAGGGAGCAGTTACAAGATCAAGCTTAATTATGCTAAGAGGGCTGTGCCCTCCAAGCTGGGACTTGTTTGCAACTTTGCCAGCAGATCAGTCTGAGGCTTAACCCTATAACCGCTTCCTACTCAAGTAGTCTTAGAGTGAGTGTCCCATGAGACAGTAAGTGGAAGCTACCCGTCTCTTATGAGACACCTTGTGTCACTTCTGTCATAGTCTATTAGAGCAGACTCAGAGCCTGTTCACATAGTGGGCGGGGACCTAGACCCCACCTCTTCCTGGAAGAAATGTCAGAGAAGGAATTACCATTAACCTGAAGCCTAACACCTGTACCCTAGGTAGCTGAAAAGATGGTCTAATCTGGCATATACCTTATAAACCAACATCAATAGCAGGAACCAAACTTCTAGGAAGATACAATTTTTCTTTAGGAACATCCTGTCAAGCAGTCAACAAAGTGTGAACAAAAATGAGTGACAGTGAAAATTAACTAGAAGGACGATGGGGAAAAATTATTGCTGTCCCATATGAGACCCCTATGCTGTTTTTGTTTTGTGTTTTGCTGTATCTATACCTCACTTAGTGGCAAGCAATTAAGATGCCTTCATAATAATAACTCTGCAGAGTAAGCTGCCTTGTCTTTAGATTTGTGACCGTGCCTATGTCAAAATGTGGAATGTTCTAGAAACTTTCACCCAACTCTAGAGGATTTCAGCAATGTGCATACCATTCCCTTCCTTTACACTTGAGAGAACTAAGGCCAGAGCAGTAAGTTGTGCTGCCCAGGGTCCCACAGTGATTTAGTGCATCACCCAGAACTACAGTCAGATAGCCAGTCAGTGCTCTGCTGTTATCTCAGGCACTGGGAGGAAAGACATGACCAGTTCTCATTGGAATGTGGAAGAGCTTCTCATCTTCACTCCTCAAAAGCTACCATTGATGTCTGAAATCCTTCCCATTGAACTCACTTGATATTACTCCTAGTAAAGAGCAATTACATTGATTGAATGACATTAAAGGTAATGGGGAAAATTTAAAACACAAAATTACTAAGGTTTGGTGTAGACCCGTTTCTTAGTCAAGTTTTCCATCCTTTGTGAAGAATATGAAAGATGCCCTAGCCGCTTTGGCTCAGTGGATAGAATGTTGACCTATAGACTGAAGGGTTCTGGGTTCTATTCTGGTCAAGGGCACATACCTCGGTTGCAGGTTCGATCCCCAGCGCTGGTTGGTCATGGGCAGGAGGCAACCAATCGATGTGGCTTTTTCACACTGACATTTCTCTCTCCGTATCTCTTCCCTTCCCTTCTACTCTCTCTAAAAATCAATGGGAAAATATCCTTGAGTGAGGATTAACAGAACAAAATGAAAGAGAATGTGAAAGAGGTTCAGATAACAGGGCATGTAAAAAGGAGGACATTTACTGAAGAACAGGACAAATTATTCTGTCCTTTCTTGGCTTTCTATGAGGCCATCCTTACAATGACATATCCCTTGAAGAAAGGAGCACTCATCACTTTGGTTTCAGCTCAGAGCCCTGGAAATGCAGGCGGGCCCAAAGATGTGAGTTAGAAAAATCAAGAGAGAAAAACAAGATTAGAAACTGTTAGTTGTCAAATAAAATTTAAAAGTAATTCAGGCCTCAATGCAGCATAACTTTATTGTATATGTTATGAAAAAAATGTGATTTTTTAATATGTGATTTTAAAAATTAGCAGAGTCTTGTCTGGGCTTTTTTATTTCTTATTTTTTTTAATTTTCTTGCCTGTACAGGAAAGCTGCAGGCCACAGATGTTCCTCAAAGAAAGATATCAGACCTGAAGCAACAGTGCTGGCAATCAAAGACATTATACCTTAGAGAATTCAAAATGCAAAAAATCGCCATCCATCAGCAGTAAATTCTCTCTGATTGCTGTGCTTAGCCTATTCCCTCCCAAACTGCCCAGTCTTAGAAATCGGGCATTGTCACAGGTGACCTAGTTTCCTGGGAGCCCAGTGCTGGCCTAGGCACACAGTTAAAGAAAGTCAGATGATACAGTTCACACAGCCATAAAATAAATGAGTTTCCACTTTCTCCCATCCCCCTTTTGTGAAGTATCAGCACAGCCTCATTAACAGGAGTTCTAGTTTGAGCTTTGCCAAGTTACTGGGTCATGGAGGTAACACATCCCTTGCCTCTGGGTGACTCAGTTATGAGCCCCATTTAGATGACCTTGCTTGCCTACTTGACTGCAATATAAAGACATCTGGGGACAAATATTCATAATGATGTACAGAAATCTCCTGGGTCAAAGGAATTGAGAACCATGGAACTAAAGGAAACTAGAAATATATTGACCCAAATATATTGACCCAAAATATATTGACCATGTTTAACATATACAATTTAACATAGATCTTCAATGTCCCAGCCAACCTCTGGATTCACAAAGATAAATAAAATACAGCCCAATGAATGCCCTTAAGGCATTTCTAATTTATTGGAAGAAAGACAAGTAAACAGATAATGCAGATTTCATTTTATACTAAAACTCACCTAAGAGGGCCCAACTGGTGTGGTTCGGTGGTTGAGCATCAACCTATGAACCAGGAGGTCATGGTTCAACTCCCGCCTGAGCACATGGCTCAGATTGTAGGCTCAGTTTCCAGTGTGGGGCACGCATGAGGCAGAAGATCAATTATTCTCTCTCATCATTGATGTTTCTGTCTCTCTCTCCCTCCCCCTTCCTCTCCGAAATTTGATGGAAATAAGTTAAAAAATAAAATGCACCTAAGAGGGATGGAACTGGGTGAGTGCAGTTAATCAGAGACTTCCTGCAGAGGTATCATTGGTTGATTTTAAAGAACAAGTGGGAATGAGCCAGGGAGATGGGATGAAAGGTTGTCAAGGATAGTTTTGGCAAAGGGAATGCACCAGCACATGGTACACACATGGAATTGCCAGTAAGAGGACAGGGCTGTCCCAGAGGATTATCTGTGGATGGACCTGAGAGTAATCCAGAAAGGCAAACATTGCTGGAAAGTGCAAGCCATTGGTAAGGGACTTTATTCTGAAAGACAGAAGTAAATTCCAAGGAGTTTAGTTCACAAAGGCAAATATCAGCCAATTGAGGAAAAGGCTATGAATCTAAGATGTCAATGCGAATAAAATTGTATTAGGTGAGAAAGGACATTGCAGGGGACACCCCCAAAATACATGCTTCTTTTTTCCTTTTGGGAAAATCTATGGAGCCTATATAAAGTGGCTTATTTGTAACTGACCTTCTAATTCCTCTCCCCTCTCACAGGCTTCACTCATGCAAACGTCCTGTATTTGCTTGGATATTTGCTCTTTTTTTCTGCTTACCTAATCAATTCCCCCCTCACTACTTTTTTCCATTATGCATTTCCACAGCTAGCAATGCCCATTTGGCACTTTTAAGTGTGCAGCCTTACTTTTTATATCAAGAACTTAAAAATATGAATGACATATTTCTGGTCTGGGATATCTAAAAAGACAGACTTCTTTCTCTTTGATCATATTTTTTTATGATACTTTAAGTGCATTTCTATTTCAATATGAAACAAAGAAATTCTGATATTTTTCTAACAATAACCCAAGATATATTTGCTCATCAAACCTGTGGACTAATTTTGACTCTTTTTAAGAACTGATTTCAGTTGTACTAACCACAGCTGATTTGGAAAAGACTTAACCTATTACTTTGGATTCCATAGCTTCCAGCTCACAAGTGGATTTTTGTCAGCTCTTTTAGGCAAAACAGGGTAGAAAGAGGTAGGTAGTCAATTTGCAGGGGCAGTTGATCTGCAGGGAACACAAAGCACACCACCTGAAGAATATTATGAACCTAACTAGCAACAAAGAAGCCATTGTCAAAAACTGTCAAATGTCAGCTCCACTTGACCCCTTCCAAAGACCAGAGTTCAACATACTTTAACACAAAGGTTGTATACACAGCAAAATAACAAAACAAATAATTAAACTCACAAGAGGGAAGAGAAGGCGAGTATATTAGCCATGAGAGCTAATTTAGTTCTAATAGCTAACATTTGGATCTGGGTTCTCTGGAAGGCAGAAAAACAGAGAAAACACAAAAACTTCACCAAATGAAATAAAAAAGAAAGTCTGCCAAAAAAGAATTATATAATATTTTAATATAAATGAGTTTGCCTTGGCATTAAATTCTAAAATATACTTTTCTTGCGAAATTTTTATAAGATTTCCTGAGACCAGTTTCCAAAAAACACAGAAGAGGTTCCATGTGACTCATATAGACTTTGGGTCTGCTGGGAGCCTAAAATGAAAATCCAACACAATAAAGATGATCCTTCAGGGAAGTGAGCAGAGGTAGTTCAAAAATTAGACCTGACAGTTATCAAATTTAATATACAAGACAGAACTTAGACAGCCAGAAGGGTGTTGGGACTTTGTCCCTTAAGTTTTCTTCCATAAGTGTCACTTTTTTTCAGAGAGTTTTCAATAAGAGAAGTGTAGTGGGAAGGTCAAGATTTTTTTTTTTTTTTTTTGACAGGCGGTTTATATACTGTTGTTCAGATTCAAGGTAGGTACACATGTTGTAATAGTAAATAAAATAACAAAGCAGTTTAGCTCACATCCTCATGAACTGTTCAGTTTGGGCTGATTGGGCATGAAAGAGTAGTTGCCAACCAGATCCATGTGTCAAAATAATTACCACAAAGTCTTATTTCTGGTAAAAAAATGATTATTATGCTAATCAAGATGTACAGTATTCTAGATTCAGTTATCATCAATTGAATTCAAAATATACCAAGAAATTGGAAGTAGTTTTCTCAGAACTTCCCAAAAGCGAAATGATTATATTGTACAAACAGTTCAGATAATTGAGGTGTTTGAGAAAGAAAATATGTTTCTTTTTTCATGTACATAAACTTCTTTCCTACTCTCTAGTAGCTTTTTTTTCTATATCAAAATGACTTCAAAAAGAACAGCTTAAATTAACTTTTCCAAAATTTTAACTTTTTTCGCTTATTTACTTCCCATCTCTACTACAGCTTTATAATAGTGGGTACTGTCTCTGGACACGTTTCAACTGAAATATTCACTCTTGTTTTGTTTGAGGACCTTGGCAAGAAGATAGCTGCCAGCTTGACTTTTAAAGGCACAACTCATTATTTTTATTTGCAACTCTCAGAGTAGTGACTTTGAGCATTTTTATATGCCTCTTGGCCATCTGTATATTCATTTTTGAGAAGTGTCTAAGTCCTTTGCCCATTTTGTAATTGGATTGTTTCTCTTCCTTTTGTTAAGTTGTATGAGTTCCCTGTAAATTTTAGAGATTAACCTCTTATTGGATGTATCATTGCCAAGTAAGTTCTCCCATACAGTGGCCTCTCTTGTTATTTTGATGATGGCTTATTTTTTGCTGTGCAGAAGCTTTTTATTTTGATGTAGTCCTATTTGTTTATTTTCTCCTTAGTTTCCATGGTCCTAGGAGTTGTATCGGTAAAGATATTGCTATGAGAGATGTCTGATATTGTGCTGCTTATGGATTCTTCTAAGATTTTTATGGTTTCCTGTCTTATAGTTATGTCTTTTGAGTGTACCACCTCACACCTGTCAGAATGGCTAGCATCAATAAATCAACACTGATGGGGGGAATGTAGACTGGTGCAGCCTCTGTGGAAAACAGTATGGAGTTTTCTAAAAAAAATTAATAATGGAACTCCTATTTGACCCAGTAATCCCACTTCTAAAAATATATCCCAAGAAGTCAGAAACATCAGTCAGAAAGGTTATATGCACCCCTATGTTCATAGCAACACAATTTATAACTGCTAAGATTTGGAAACAGCGTAAGTGCCCATTAGCAGATGAGTGGATTAAAACCTGTGGGACACATACACAATGGAATACTATGCAGCTATATAATAGAACTCTTACATTTGCAACAACATGGATGGACTTGGAGAGCATTGTGCTAAGCAAAATAAGCCAGTCTGAGAAAGATAAGTATCATATGCTCTCATTCACTTGTGGAATACAATGAACAACATAAACTGATGAACAAAAATAGATCAAGTGACAATGAGACATCCAATAGACTATTGACCTTCAGAGGGAAGGCAGGGGAAAGTGGGGGTGGGGGAGAGATCAACCAATGAACTTGTATGCATGTATGCATAACCCATGGACACAGATAATATTGAGCTGGGGGCAGGGGCAGGCTGGGAGAGATCAATAGGGGGGGGGGAAGAGGACATATGTAATACTTTTAACAATAAAAAATTAAAGAAAATAAAGGCACAAGTATACTTGGCATGATTGGTTGTGATGGGTCTGGGGTACTGGAATCACTTGAATGATTCCAAGTGGGTGACTGAGGCGTGTTTGTCACTGTTTGCAGAAAGGTTGCTTCTAAGGAACTGGAGAGTCATGTAACAGTGGCATTGGGGAATAGATGGATCCTGGAGTGATCTAATCCCTTGAATCTTGATTTTTTAAATAAGTCCATGCTTTTTATGTTTGTGTTAATAGCACTATTTTTTTTTAACACTCCCAGGCCCCTCAAGCAGTCTTCATGACTTTATCTGTGCTCTCTTATGTAATTATTACAGTTGATGTTCAGGTGCTCTGCACCCATTATTCCTTATGTACCACCATCTTCCTTATACAATCACCTGTATATCTCTATCTGTGTTATTATTTTAATTCAGGAGGCCTTGAGTATGTTAAATTTGTGCACTGGGGAAGCCAGGTGTGCTAGGTAGTTTCAACTCGTGATATCAGACCTCAGACAATGATAAGCAGGACTTAGTAAACTAATAGTCTACCTTCCTCACCCTTCAGGTGATACTCTGCTGTCTCCTGGAAGTCCCAACAGGAGTTAGGTCCCAGTTGTCCCCAATATATCCTAGGCACTAATGGTTCTGTATTACCTTCCTTACCTTCCCATCTCATTTCCTGTCTCTTAACAGTTTCCTAGGACATCGCTTCAGGTAACTCTTCTCTCAGATGAGCTTCTGAAGAAACAGAAATAATAAGACAAGTGATTTTTCTCTACCCTGTCTTCTAATTCACTGATCTGATTCTTGGCTGCCCTAATGTGCTGTGTTTTCTTCCCAATGTGTTCTTTATTAGTGCTATGTCATTCTCCATAGTTGCTATATCTTTTCTCATGCTGTTGAGCATCTTTGCCATCATTATTCTGAACTCTCTATCTAATAACTTTATTATCTCCATTTTATTTAACTCTTCTTTTGAAGAATTCCCTTGTTCTTTCATTTGGGGCTTGTTTTTTTTGTCTCACCATTTTGGCCGCCTGTTTGGGTTTTTGTCTGTGTATTAGGTATATCTGTTATGACTCCCAACCTCTAGTGCAGGACAATGTCAGACACTGTGTGCATCTGTGTTGGGTTTATACTTAGGAGTATAAATGTAAGGCATAGGACGTTGGTTGCACTTTAGTGTAGCCCATCAAACAGTAATTCAAAGTGGTCGTAGTGCCTCAGAGAGTATCAAAACTAATCACAGCATGTTACAAATTGAAAATAATGAGGCTCAGATATGTTAACTAATTATCCAAAGTTTTAAAGACAATTAGTGGCAGAGCAGGAATGAGCATATGTTTTTAAATGGCACAGTACTCTGCTTAACAGCTCTATTGTCCCCT